GATGTTGATTTTTCTCTTCAAGTGTATGTCTTAGTGGTTTTTAATTATTAATGCCCCTGCTCCAGTAATCTTATCTTTTAATATTTGGGAATAAGGAGAAAGCAGTAGGAAAGGATAAAGGATAATAGCTTATCTTTTGAGTAAGCCTCTTTCTGTTAATATAAACTAGGGTTCAAAGATGACAATATGGAATTGCTTATGAAAATGGATAAGATGCCTCTGATATGTTTAGATTTTTGTAGGCAAAGGAAAATAGGTGAAAACCATCATTTTTTGTTTGGCACAGAGTTTTAAGAATTTTTTTTCTGCAGTAAATCTTGTGCATCAGATACCAGCATTTCTAAACTCCTAGACTTTCAGAACATCTGAAAGCCCCAAAGTATAATGTTTGAGGATAATTCCTCATTGATAGCAAAACAGTAACATTCTGTACCCAGCTAATAAAGGGCACAGTTCATACATGAAAATTGGTAATACATTGTGAACTAGAGGGCAAGAAGTGAGTTCTTCAAAAATGATAGCTGTTCTGTTATCTTCTGCTTAAAATAAAAGTAATGTATATTTATTGTAGAATTGGGAAAATACATGCTTAAAAAATCACCCATTATCTTCTACGTTAGTCCATTTCCTTTTCATTTTTGCCATAAGCATTTTTTAGTAAAACATAAATAGTTAAACATAAAGTATCATCAAATCCAAGTCAAGAAATAGAAAACCCTGGAAGATAGATCCTTGTGTGTTTCTTCCTAATCCCTACTCCTGTTTTCCCCTTAAGTATATCATTATCCTGACTTTTATGGTAATCATTTCCTTGTTTGTCTTTGTAGTTTGTCTATCTTGTGTTATATATACATACATATATATCACTAAACAGGTAAAAGAGTTGAACTACTCAATGAATAGATAGAAAGATATTCACAAGCTGTCTTTAAAATACAAAAAACCTAAATTGAGTTTTCAAAGAGCTTCTCATGGTATAGGGCAAGTGATAAAGTACTGTCTGTGGGTTGACAAACAATATCTTTGATTTTCAGCAGTTTGACTATGATATACATAGGTAAGATTTTCTTTGTGTTTATCTTGCTTGAGGTTTGCTGATCTTCTTAGATCTGTGGTTTGTTATCTCTTATCAGTTTTTGAAAATCTTGTTCATTATCTCTTTTAATATTTCTTCTGTACCACTTCCTCTCTCTCTCCTTATACTATGACTCCAATTACACGCCTATTAGGCCATCTGATATTGTTTCACAGACCTTAGATTCTTTGTTCTTTTTTCCCACTCTTTTTTTCCTCTTTATGATTTAGTTTGGAGAATTTCTGTTGGCATGTGTCTTTGTTTCCTAGTGCTGCTATAACAGTAATACCACAAGTGGGTGGCTTTAACAAACAGAAATGTATTTTCTCACAGCGTAGGAGGCTAGAAGTCTGAATTCAGGCTGCCAGCTCTAAGGGGAGGCTCTGGGAAAGTCTCAGCTTCTCCAGCATTCTTCTCAGCATTCCTTGGTGTCCTCCATGTGGTGCCTGTCTTCCCTGTTTTTGCTTGCTTGTCTCTGTGTCTAATCTGCTCCTTTTATATCTCAAAAGTGATTGATTTAAGACACACCTTACACCGATGTGGCCTCATTAATATAACAAAACCCTATTCTGAAATGGATTACACTCACAGATACGGGGGTTAAGATTTACAACACGTATTTTGAGGGGATACAATTAGATCCATAACAGCATGTATTCAAGTTCATTGATTGTTTTGTCAGTTGTGTCCTATCTGTTGATAATCCCTTCAGTATAATTCTTCAGCTCTGTTAGCATATGTTTAATTTCTGGTGTTTCCATTTGACTGTTTCCTATACTGTTTCTGTCTCTTATCTGACATTTCCCATCTTTTCACTCATGTGGTTCATTTTTTCCATTACTTTCTTTATCATATTTATCATAGTTATTTTAAAGTATCTGATAATTTCACCATCTGGGTCATTTCAGGGGTCTGGTTCTATTGACTGTTTCTTGTCTTATCTTGACAATGAGCCATATTCTCATAGAACATAGGACATTACAGGTTAAAAAAAAAAAAGACTCTAAAGTAATATTTATGTCCAGAAAAAAAGACCCGCCCCTTATTTTTTCAAGCCACTAGAATGGGGTGGAGGTGGGAGGAATGCTACATGAATGTAGTCTCTAGTTGAGCTGTATCTGTGCTTTGTTATTGCTTTAACCAAAAAACCAAACCCATTGCTGTCGAGTCGATTCTGACTCATAGCAACCCTACGGGACAGAGTAGAACTGCCCCACAGGGTTTCCAAGGAACGCCTGGTGGATTCGAACTGCCAGCCTTTTGCTTAGCAGCCAAGCACTTAACCACTATACCTTAGTTTGATTCAATTCATCATATGTTTTGAATGACTTGAGGGCAGAACGAACTTTCCCTTTAACAGTGTGTTTTTTAGGATATGAGTAGCTGGAGGATTTCTCTCAGTTCTCCTACTTTCCCCTTGGCCTTCAGTAAGCCCTATACCTTGGCACTTCAGGGAAGATCTCTCTCAGCTTTTCTGCTCCTTGCCCAGCCATAGCTAGCCACAGTTTATATAATCAGTGACAGCCTAGAATTCTCAAAGGATCTGTCTCAGTTTTCCTGCCCTGTCCTCAGACTTAGGCCGTATGTGCTTGGCCTCAAGGGATTCTCTCAGTTCTCCTGTCCTGCCTCCATTCATACATGTGATCATTTGGTGAAGGCCTGTGAAAAAGAGTTCTTAAAGAGTTGACAGATGACTGCAAACTCTCTTTGTGTTTGGATCCCCTAGGTATTTTCAGCTGTTATGCCATCCTGTATTCAACCTTTAAAGTTTTGTTAAATGTTCAGCTGTTTTTTTCCTAGTTACATCTAAGGTGGTGTCCTCTGCTGCTCGTAGCTTCACCAAGGATAAAAGCAGCCATGGGTCTCTTTTCTCTTGGAAAAGGCTCATCACATTCTAGATTTTAATCCATTGGGTTTCTTTGTGTCCTCAGCTCTTAATGACCTTAAAAAAAAAAAAAGACTATGATTTTGTAGGTTTTCTGGTTTGTTATTAGAGTGTTTCAGCTTATTGTTAAAATGGGAGCAAAATTCTTTGCTTCTATTTACACCCTAAGTGAAACTGGGAGTCAATTTTTTCACATTTTAAAATAGCTGACATGATGTGCCATTTCATCTGATCTAAAAAGCCATCAGTTCTTAATTTGACTGACATAAATTCATTGATTTAGAACAAGAATGCCCACCTGAGGAACGATTTGTCCTTGAGGTTTTTAACTTTGCCATAAAGGCTTTTAGTTTGAGTACAACCCATAATTGTAATGTCCAAAGAAAGTTTTAAGATATAGTATGTTTGATTTTGCTTGAATGTAAAGAATGATTAAATAACAATACTTGTGGTCATCAAGCCCAGCCTTAGGCCAGTATTATCATATAGTACCTGAATACCTCTAGTAAAAAAATAATGAACAACTCTTTCATAGGGTACCTCATACCTTGTTTCATTTTAGACAGCTGTATTTGTAAGCAGTCAGTTTTTCTGTGTGCTGAGCTGAAGAGTGCTGTTCTTGAACAGCTAATTAAATCTGGTTATTCTCTCTAGCTATTCAGAACAAGTCCATTTCTCCACATGAAGACAGCTATTAATATCCTTTCAAGTTTTCTCTTTTCCCGCATTACATGCTATCAACTCTTTTACCCATCACATTTCAGAATTCTCATACCTTTCACTATTCTAGTTGCTCTCTTCTGGATGTGCTCTAGCTTGTGGACATCATCCTAAACGGCATTGCTCTAGGCATGATCTGACCCACAGAATGGAACTAACAAATAAAATATTTTACATGCTCATAATAGCCCTGTGATTTAGATATGTGTGTTTCCCATTCTGCAAGTGAGGACAATTAGACTCAGAAAGGTGAAGAAATTTTCCCAAGGTCATATAGTAAGTGAAAGAACTGAGTTTGAAGTCAAATGCTGATTTAACTGCCTACAAAGCCATGTTTTTTTCATTAATAATATTAATATTGATAAAAATAGTAACTACCATTTGTTGCATAAGTACTATTGTCATGGTTTGAATTACATCCCCTAAAAAATGTGTGTATCAATTTGACTGGGTCATGATTCCCAGTATTGTGTGGTTGTCCTGCATTTTGTGATTGTAATTTTATGTTAAAGAGGATTAGGGTGGGATTGTAACACCCTTACTAAGGTCACATCCCTGATCCAATGTAAAGGGAGTTTCCCTGGGGTGTGGCCTGCACCACCTTTTATCTTACAAGAGATAAAGAGAAAGGGAAGCAAGCAGAGAGTTGGGGACCTCATACCACTAAGAAAGCAGTGCTGGGAGCAGAGCGTGGCCTTTGGACCCAGGGTCCCTGCACGGAGAAGCTGCTAGTCTGGGGCAAGATTGATGAGAAGGCTGACAGAGAGAGAATGCCTTCCCCTGGAGCTGACACCCTGCATTTGGACTTTTAGCCTACTTTACTCTGAAGAAATAAATTTCTCGATGTTAAAACCATCCACTTGTGATATTTCTGTTATAACAGCAGTAGAGGACTAAGACAACTGTGTACTAGACACTGTACTAAGCACTTCACAGTCATTTTCCCATCTATGCCTCACAGAAGATTTGTGAAGTAGTGAGCTCAGAAAAGTAAAGTAATTTGCTTAATGTCACTGAGCAAGTGGTGTAGAGCCAGGATTTAAACCCAGATGTGATCCCGAAGACTGTGCTTTTAAATATACTACTCTGTCAGTGCTGTTCCGTGATGTACTGGATATTTCAATAGCAATGTCCCAAATCTATATAAGATCATTTGTTTGATTAAAAAATAGATTATATGCAGTTATCAAAAATTTATTATTAATTTTTCTTTTCATTTCTTTTGATGCAAAAACATTGCTGATTTGACCATATGACATAGTGTTTCTAGAATTAACAAAATACTTAAAAGGATGACTATTTTTTTTTGTATTCTTTTAGGTCCACCTCATTCATTTAACCGAGATGAGACAATAATCATTGCTTTGGCATCAGTCTCTGCGTTAGCTGTTTTGATAGTTGCCTTATGCTTTGGATACAGGATGCTGACAGGTAAAAATCTCACTTTTTGTCATACTGTTTATTTAACATGCCATTTAATCAGAATACATTTTCTTTTTAAAAGCTCCGTGTTATAGTAGCTCCTCGCATTCTTCTCTCTGACAAACTTTTTAAAATTTTTGTGAAAAAATTTCAGACATATGCAAAATACCTATCACCCAACTACAACAGTTATCACATATGAACAGTATTGCTTCATCTATATCCCTGTCCCCCTACTATCTCCTCCCATGCCACTGGATTATTTTGAAGCAAATCACAGATATCATTTATCTATCTGTTTTATCTATCTATCTGTTTATCTATATGTACTTCAGTATTATCTCTGAAATATAAGGACTTTAAAAATATATAACTGCAGTACTATTTTCATATCTTAAAAAAATAACAGTAATAACTTGGTATTATCAAATATTCAGTCAATTCTAATAAACTTCAGGTTTGAGAGGCATTTTAGGAAATCAGCACTCATTTGTTTTAATAAAATCTTCTCTAAAGCTTGTACAATATTTCTGAAGGTTTTAAACGTCTAAACTAGGTCTATTGCAGAGCCATCTCCCAGAATTCAGCTTTCAAGCTATTCATCATTCATATTTGTTTACAGATGATTCCTAGTTTAGTAAATAATTTTATTCCCATTAACATTAAAGTCTTGCTGCTAACCCTTCTGTAGCTCTCCTTTGTAATTGCAATGTAATAAAGTAATGAAGATCTTCTTTTTAAGAAAGCCACATGTTAGTAACTTCTGTTTCCTGTTTCTACAGGAGACCATAAACAAGGTCTTCACAGTATGAACATGATGGAGGCAGCAGCATCAGAGCCCTCTCTTGACCTAGATAACCTGAAACTGTTGGAGGTGAGGTTGCTATTAGATTGTGGACTTATCTTTCTACTCATGTAGTGTGTCTGGGACAGTAACTTCGTTCACTCACAAATTCATTCATTCTTTTATTTAACCAACATTTCCTGAGTATCAATTTTGTGCAAAGTCCTATTCTAGATACTGGGAATATGGTGAAAAATATAGATATCCTCTTAGGGCTTACATTCTAGTGGGGGGAGTCTACACAAAAGTGATTAAGTGAACATATAATTTCAAGTAGTGGTAAGTGCTATGAAGGAAAAAAAATGCATAAAGAGATAAAGTGATGGAAAGGATATAGAAATTATAGAAAGAAAGTCAGAAGAAGGCTTACTGAGTAGGTGACTTATGAGTAGAGATGTGAATAGACTATGGGAATAAGATGTAAAATTCCGAGAAGACTGTGCTAGACAAACAATCCATACCAAAGGAAAAAACAAATCCGTTGCCGTCAAGTCAATTCAGATTGTTTGTGCTAGACAAACAATCCATAGTAGATACCAGATAAATATCCCTTGGCTGTGCATATATTATGTATTTTATGTGCACATGTGAATATTACAAGGGAGCACTGGTGGCGCAGTGGTTAAGCACTCTGCTGCTAACCAAAAGTTCAGCAGTTAGAATCCACCAGCTGCTCCATGGGAGAAAGATGTGGCAGTCTGCTTCCATAAAGATTACAGTCTTGAAACCCTATAGGGCAGTTTTACTCTGTCCTATAGGGTTGCTATAAGTCAGAATAGTCTTGACAGCAGTGGATTTTTTTATGGATATTACATATTCCATAGAAGTTAATTTTCATTTGTTAGTATCTCAGAAGCTATGGTAAAAATCTTACCATGATGAATATTTCTATGATCTTTATTAGGGTCAGCTCTTTCTATAACTATGATCCCTAAACCAGTGACCATTTTGTAATAAATATGATAAATTTGACTATATAAAACAATTTAAAGTATATCCTGTCTGGGGGGAGGGGAATACTGTAAAGAAAGTCGAAAGCCAAATTTGAAAATATTTTTCAGCACATAAATAATGAAGAAACAACGGGTATTAATCAGTATGAAAGGAACAACTCACAAAAAAAAAAAATAGACAAAAGATATGACCTGCCAATTCACAAACAAAGTAAGTGTGGCCAAATAAGGTACAAAAAAATGTCCAACTTGCTATAGAGAAATAAACACTAATTAAAACAACAGGATTTTATCCAGGATTGAGTGAAAGAAACACTCCCAAACTTTGTTGGTTTAACTATATATTGATGGAACCTTTTGAAAGGACAGTCTGTCAGTATGTTAAATTTTAACCTAGTAATAGTGAATGAAACATAGTAAACATCCTTAAATAAATTAGGGTGAATACCTAACCAGTCTCAATAAAAAGCAACAGAAATCCTCAGAAGCCAAAAACAAAGAGAATGGTTTCATTTTGCTGGTTCTTCGTGTATTGAATAATTATGGACTATATCCTGGACATTGTAAATATTATATTGTGGACTCCCTGGATTCTATTATTTTCCTTTGAAGTGTGTTGATTTTTGTATCTTGGATAGAAACTCAAATCTCAGTGCAATTATTTTATCTTTGGCTGGAGTCTGTCCCATGCATTCATTGAGTTTCTTCCTCTCTGACTGTCTCCTTTCCTGGATTTTCCTCTCAGTTTCCAGCAGCTGTAGTTGCTTCAAATTCTGTCATCTGGTTCCTTGAGCCAGAAAGACTATGGATTTTCTACTGAAGTTTTAGCTCCCCTGCATAGTGCTGATTTCAGCCTACCCTCAGGCTAAAAGCCATAAAAATGGATGACTTACCCCTTGCTATTCCCTTTCTCTAAGGGTTGACTCCCCTCAGAGCCTACCTGCTTCTGTTCATTCTCCAGCACCTGTATATAATTTTTGTTTGTTTTAGTTGTTCATAGCTGTTTTCTGTGAGAGGGCTAGGTCTGGTAAGAGCTACCTCAGCCATACTAGAAGCGGACTTCATTGGTGTTTTGTTAATGGAGTAATTTAAGCTGTAAGCAATAGAGAGCTGTGGCATACCATAGGGATTTGTGCTCTTTTATTTAGTAAGCTAAATAATATATGTACTCTGGACATGTTATCAGGAGGGACCAGTCCCTGGAGAAGGACATCATGCTTGGCAGAGTAGAGGGTCATCAAAAAAGAGGAAGACCCTCGACAAGATGGATTGACACAGTGGCTGCAACAATGAGCTCAAACATAGCAACCATTGTGAGGATAGTGCAGGACCGGGCAGTGTTTCGTTCTGTTGTACATAGGGTCGCTATGAGTTGGAAGCGACTTGATGGCACCTAACAACAATAACATTTAGTAAAATCTTGATTGTTCAATTGTGACATGAATTAACACCTTACTTTCTTCAAAAAAAAATTTACAGCTGATTGGCCGGGGTCGCTATGGAGCAGTGTATAAAGGTTCCTTGGATGAGCGTCCAGTTGCTGTAAAAGTGTTTTCCTTTGCAAACCGTCAAAACTTTATCAATGAGAAGAACATTTACAGAGTGCCTTTGATGGAACATGACAACATTGCTCGCTTTATAGTTGGAGATGAGAGAGTCACTGCTGATGGACGCATGGAGTATTTGCTTGTGATGGAGTATTATCCCAATGTAAGTTCTTCATAAAAAATTAACTGACATTTATATTAGCTGTCAATCATACTTTCAGAAGGACCAATGTAATATAGTGCAGTGTTGATTCACAAACTGGTTATTACTATTGTGCCTTAGGTGAAGGTTTACAGAGCAAATTAGTTTCCCATTCAATAGTTTATATACAAATTGTTCCAGGATGTTGGTTGCAATTCCTGCAATGTGTCAGGACTCTCCCCATTACCCTGAATTCCCTGTTTCCATTTTGTACAGTTTTCCTGCCCCCCTGCTGCCTTCTCGTCTTTGCTTTTGGGCACATGTTGCCCTTTTATTCTCTCATACAGGTTATTGTTGTAAGGGGAACTTTCCTCACAAGTGTTATTGTTTATTTTATAGGCCTGTCTATTGCTTGGCTGAAAGGTGATCTCCAGAAATGGCTTCAGTTCCAAGTTACAAGGGTTTCTAAGGACCATAGGCTTGGGGGTTCCTTCAGTCTCTGTCAGACCTGTAAATCTGGTCTTTTTCATGAATTTGAGTTTTGTTCTACACACAAACTGGTTATTAATTGTTCTCAGTGAGATAAGGATCTCACTCCAGAATGTGAATCAACTATATCACTAATTATACTGTTTAGTTCAGCTTTTTTTTTTCTTTTTGTAGCAAGACTTTTTCAGTGAAGCTTTGACTGATATTCATTCTAGTGTGAGATCCTTATCACAGACTGATAATAAACATTTTGTGGACAAGCACTTTGAGTAGCACTGACATAGATATATATTAAAAAGCATTGTACCAATTCTTCAGACAAGGATTAGATGGACTATGGGACATAAAATGATACTCATGAAGAGTGTGCTTCTTAGCTCAAGTAGATACATGAGATTAAATGGGCAGCTCTCGTCTGGAGGCGAGATGAGAAGTCAGAGATAGTCAGGAACTGGTTGAATGGACATGGGAAATCCGGGGTGGAAAGGAAGAGTGTGCTGTCACATTATAGGGAGAGCAGGTAGGGTCACAAAATAAAGTATCTATAAATTTTTGTATGAGAGACTAACTTGAATTGTAAACTTTCACTTAAAGCACAATAATTTTAAAAAATATTACTTAAAAAAAATTAAATTAAAAAAAGTCTTGAATTTTCTACTTGTAAAACATATGTTTGTATTTGTACTGGTAAAAGATAACAGTGTGTAAGTAAAGAAAGAGTCTAAAAGAATTATTTTTCTACCTTATTTCAGTAGATCAAAAATGCCTTTAAAAGGAAATAACCATTCATAGTTTTTAATATTGGAAACTTAATGATTGATAATGTTTAAATTCTCTTTTCCTTTCCATTTTCTTCCTCTTCTCTCTGCCCACGAAAATGTCTTGCTAACTTTTTTGAGATTCTGAAATGTAGTAATTCATTAGGTCTTCATGAAATCCTAGCCTGTGCAAATCCTTTGTAAGGCTACTAACTTACCACCTCGTGTTCAAGTAAATTAATCCCACTTTTTTATTTTTTGTGTTGTTTTCCTCTATATAGGGATCCCTGTGCAAGTATTTGAGTCTCCATACAAGTGACTGGGTAAGCTCCTGCCGTCTGGCTCATTCTGTGACCAGAGGACTGGCTTATCTTCACACAGAATTACCACGAGGAGGTAAGACAATAAATAGAAGAGTAATGACACTCATGTGGGATTAAAATTCACAAAGGGAAATTTTAATCATATCTTCAGAGTAAAGGACATTTTATATTATAGCCAGTTGTTTAAAAGATCTAGCATGAGGAAACGTATTTGAAATGGGATATGAAGAATAAGAAAAAGAACTTCAAGATTTGAGGGATCATGGATTCCTTTGAGAATTAGGTTAAACCTCTAAACTCTCTCCCTGTAAAGGAACACATGTAGACATACTTAGAAAATTTTTTTTTTTTTATGATTCTAGGGGGTTCTCAGACCCATTGAAAGCCCATCTATGATTCTTAGGCTAAGAACTTCAGAGCTAGGCTATATTTTGTTTTCCTTGTATTTATTGTGTTTATTTAAATAAACTACAATGCATTATTCTTTAGTTTTAATACCTCTTGAATCTTTATTCTATGGGTTGGTCTTTAGTATAAAACCTAAATGTATCTTTTTATAAGTTAGTGGTTCAGTTAGCTAGAATTTGGTTTTGCAAAATCTGTCAGGAGGGAAAAATAACAGTGGCTTCAATAAGAAAGAATTTTTTTCTTTCTTGTGTAAGAGTCTAAGGTAGACAGTCTAGGGTTGTTGGGGCAGCATCAGCATTATTAGTCTCCGATATTTCTTCTCCACCATCCTTTATATATGGCTTCCATTTTAAAGGTGACCTCGTTCATCATGCTGTGTTCTAGTCAGCAGGAAGAAGGGAGGGGAGGTAGAAGGAATTGTTCCCTTCTGCCTCCACAAGTCCCACTCTTATGCTTCCATTTTGTTGCCACACTTAACTGCAAAAGACCGGCTGCCATCAAGTCGATTCTAATGGTTTTTTTTTAAATCTGGGTGCATTGCTGCCTCAAATAAAATTGGTTTCTGTTACTAAGTAGGGAGGGAAGAATGGATGATGGGGAGTGAGGCTTGCCAGTGTTTCACACTGTGTGGTTTTGTTCTTGCTATAACTCCTGTGTTCCTCAGCTTCAATGCACATTTTTGCTAGTTGTTGACAGCATCTCTTCAATACATTTGTTTTCTCACTTTGTTTCAAAATACACCTCAGATCACAGGCACCTCTAAATTAGCTTTACTGTGAAAATTCTGTCTCCATGCTTTCTTAAGCTTTCATCCATTACGGCATTTTCTTGTCATATTGTAGCCCAGAACATTGCTTTTTTAAATCTCAATGACCTCTGTTGTGAAGAGAATCCTTAATGTATCGGTTTCTTAGGTCTTTGTTCCATGTATAATAGCTGTGGGTCATCTTTTCTAGCTGATGATTCATATATAAATAATTTCTTCTGAATAATTTATTAGTTCATTTATCTTGACATCTTGCCTTTCCTGAATACAGAATTGACCACTGCTATCGCCTGTGTCAGCAACTTGACGCACTTGCTTTAGTGCTTTAGCAGATTAACAGTTTGGATGTGTTCCCTTACTCTTAAATATTATTATAACTCCTTCAAAAAGCTGGCTTAGCACAGAACTTAAAATACCATCCTAATCCCACTGTTCAAGGCTTGCATAATTCAGCAAGGTTTTTAGTCAAACATGGGCAAAGAATGATTGTCTTCAAATATGAGTTTTATTTAAACATAGCTATTACTCTGAAACATTGCCTAATGTTATCATTAAACAGTTACCTTTTTTAAAACTGAGTATATAAATGTCATTGAATATGATATCAGTATAGTAGCCATTTGTATTTACGGTTTTACCTAATTATTTAAAAAATATTCTCAAATATACCATACTATTTTAAAACATTGTAAGGTGTTCTTTCAGAGAACTATATTCTGCTCAATATCCTTAGATGTAAATTTGCTGGTTAGGGTAGAAGTTTGGTAGCTAGGAATAATGCTATTAATACTTATTTGTCTATTTGTTACTTCAGAATAAAGAAGAGTTGAGCCTGTTTATTTATTGGTAATTTAAAGTAATTGGTTCTCCTGTGAATTTTTTTCTTTATAATAATAGCAATGGACTCTTATTACAAAAAAAAATCTAATTAAGAAAGAACATATGTAGCTCATTCAAAAACCTCACAGAAAAATTACTGTTAACTAATTTGTATCTATTTTTCCAAGTCCTCCTTTGCTCTGTGTGTGTGTGTGTGTGTGTGTGTGTGTATGTATGTATATATCCACAAAGAGACTATTTTTTGTTCAGGTTTTATTTTTTAATGTAATTAAAATAATATCATATCATACTTTCCTTTGACATATTTGCTTATCCAGGAAAGGCTTCGCTTAGTACAGTGCTGTTTCCCAGGGCAAAATCACTGTATGTTCTGCCCCTTTCTTGCCATTACCACCCCCCCACCCCGCAAAAAAAGCTTAAAATGAATACTGAAGGCACCTTAAAATGAAAAAGGCTTCTCCGAAGGACAGTCTACAGTTAGCTCTTCCCTTTGCATTGGTGATGGCAGGGAGGATAGTGTCTTGAGTTTTATCTTGTCTCTTCTCTATTCTCCCTTTCTCCTTTCCTTTCTTTTCCTTTTCTTTTAAAAGATAGCAGGAAGCACAAGTCTATTTCCCCCTCTGTCTGTCTCACTGGCTCATTGACCTGCTCCCCATCATTGTCCTAGTTTCCCTAAAGTGTGAGATCTTCTAATTTAAATACTGAGTTGGTATCAGTATATAAACATTTTCCAATATCTCTATAAATTTTCCTTTATAAATATCAGCTATAGATTATACCACATATACTTATGTTGTGGTTTTATCCAGTGTAAGGAATGCAACTCTTGTAGGAATCGAGTAGGAGCCAAGTTAGTACAAGCTTTGGAAGGCTGGAAAGCAAGTGGGAAGGGGAGAAAATGAGAAAGAAATCAACTCTTAGATGAAGAAATATATATGGTAACTCCGATTTTTTGCTTCCAATTGTGCTGTTGCTTTATTCTTTTATATCAAAGGAATTGTTATCCTTCTTTCCAATTTCCTTGTTGGTGAAACTGCAGTCTCTACCCACTAATGAGAATAATAAATCAAAATACTGAGTCTATTTGTACCTAAATACAAACACTCAATAAATTTATGATTGATTTTGGTCTGATTGCTCTATTTCTTTGTAGCCATAAGAATTTCAGAAACCGTGCTATAGAATTTTTTTGTTTGTTTGTTTCAAGAACTATAGATTTGTTTAATACAAGGTTTATAAAAGATTTCCTTTTAGATAGGAAAAAACAATGTAACATTTTAAATGAGGGGCTTACATTAAATTTATTCTTTCAGTCAACAAACATTTATTGTGTGTCTGCTTTGTGCCAAACTTTTTAAAATCAGGGAAAACATATTCTTTGTCTACCTTCAAGGACCATATAGTCCAGTGATAATGTGAAAAACCAAAAACCCACTGCTGTTGAGTTGATTCCAATTCATAGCGACCCTATAGTGATAAATGTGAAACAATAATGAGTATAACACTGCTTACTTCTCTGTAAAATTAGAAAACAGGTTTTCATGTCTTGCTGGGAGATGCTAGCTCCTCCACTTGTTCTCCGAATCTGTTATAAAGCTCTTTCTAGGAGCCCTGGTGGCGCAGTGGTTAAGAGCTCGGCTGCTAACCAAAGTTCGGCGTTCGAGTCCACCAGCCATTCCTTGGAAACTCTATGGGGCAGTTCTACTCTGTCCTTTAGGGTCACCATGAGTCAGAATTGACTCAACAGCAACAGGTTAGTTAGATTTGAAGAACTGAGGTGGGCTTAGAGACATGGCTAAACTTCAGGGCAGAACTGGGATATGCATCACAGGTGTGATCTGTTAAGCCATAGGAAAACAGTTTAACATTTCTATAGAAATTTTGGAGCCACTTCAGTTTTTTGTTGATGCTTAGTTTAGACAAGTTGACTTTTTTTGTTGTTTATACCAAGTATTCCTTCTTCTCTTGCCTTCTTTTGCTACCCTAGAAATGAAGAGAAAACCCCAATGTGTGTTAGAGTTAGAAACAGCAACATGTTGGCTATTAGGTACAGCTGAATGTTTAACACTTAGTTAACCGTACATATGAGAAGAGTTGTATTATAAAATATATTAGAAAATAGTGATAATTGTGAGTCTAAGTTTTGATCTCTTGTGTCCTTTTTTGGTATTAGAAAATTAATAGGCAGAAAAATAATACCATCTTCTATATTCATGTAGTTCCTATTATCTGCATTCTCATTTCATATCCAATATAGCACACAACAACAAAAATAACTATGTATTAATAAATATTGAAATTATCCAAACAGATCATTACAAACCTGCCATTTCCCATCGAGATTTAAACAGCAGAAATGTACTGGTGAAAAATGATGGAACCTGTGTTATTAGTGACTTTGGGCTGTCCATGAGGCTGACTGGAAATAGACTTGTGCGCCCAGGCGAAGAAGATAATGCAGCCATAAGTGAGGTGGGTGTATACAAAAGGTATCCCACTGAAATACTTGTAAGCATAATGAATTGAATTAAAAAATCCACTAACCACTCAGGACTGTTATCCATATATGCTGCCAACTGCAATATATTAGGAATTACAAAATTAGGGAATACAAAAAAGATACTGCATAAAGTCCTTTGTAAAGTGCATCAGTTCATTTTGGAAATCACTGCCATTCCAACTTATTTTGACAAGCATTAAAAGGATTTTTGTAGGAACTGATCTTTTTATATTTGAGTAAGTATATGTATAACGAAACATTTGCCATTTCAACATTTTTTACATGTATAATTCCGTGGCATTAATTATATTCATCATGTTGTGCAACCATTGGCACTGTCCATTTTCAAATTTTAGCTCAGTGCCCCCTAAACAATGTAGGAACTGATTTTTTTAAAGTGTTTTATTGTGTTTTAGGTGAAAGTTTACAGAGCAAATTAGTTTTCCATTCAACAAATTGTACACAGAGTGTTCCATGACATTGGTTGCAATCTCCACAGCGTTTGTCAGCGCTCTCCCCATTTCTGCCCTGGGTTCCTGTTTCCTTTCATCTGGTTTTCCTACTCCTTCCTGCCTTCTCATATTTACATTTGGACAAATGTTGCCCTTGTGGTCTTGTATAATTGTTTTAAGGAGCATGTTCTTCTCAGGTGTTATTATTTTATAGGCCTGTCTGTTGCTTGGCTGGAAGGTGGTTTCTGGAATGGCTGTAGTTCCAAGTCAGAGGGGTGTCATAGGACCATAATCTGGGGGTAGAACTGATTTTTGAAGCAAGAATAAAGTTACCAAGTTTGAGCTGGTACAGTCAACCTTCTGGTGACATAATTTCCTTTTTGAAAGTCTACAAACATAGGTGAATGTAATGTGTGATATAGTCTGGTATTGTAGTATAACTTCTCAGTTTGTGGCACAGAATGTAAATGAGTCACGGTCGTAACCACATAACTTTGTGTGAGCCATTATTAAGCATTCCTTACAGCTCCCCCACTGCTTATAGTAGTCTGGAGATGCCTCTGAGTATGTTGACCCTAAACTCTAGAGAGATATGTTGGGATCATGCTTCATTATCCCTACGCCTGAAGTTCGCGAACTTTAGTCATTCTCCCAGTATTCTCTCTTACCCAAAAACCACAGCTCCAGATGGCTTTCCCAGTTGCTAAACAAGAGCAGTGGACGCTGTTGTAAAGATCATGGTAATTGCATAGAATATTTATTAGAACTACAGCCTATAGATTGATATGACAGAAATATACTGTCCTACTTTTCCATTTAAATCAGTTGTTCTCAACCAGGGGTGATTTTGTCCTTCAGGGGACACTTGGTAATGTCTGGAGACATTTTTGGCCGTCACAGCTGGGGAGGGGAGGATGCTATTGGCTTCTAGTAGGGGCTGCTGAACATCATACAGTGCACACAGTAGTCTCCCCAAACAAAGAATTGTCCAAAATGTCAGTAGTGTTGCTGTTGACAAACCATGGTTTAAATGAAAAAGTTAAGAGTCAGTGATAGTGCCTAGAAATTATGATCACTTTTATTCTTATGATTTCTAAGGCCTCTAACATAAATACCGTGTGCTTTATCTTTATTCATAACTTATCAGAGAAGCACATTTAAATTTTATTTTCTTAAATTACACAAGGACAAGCGATAAATGAATGGATTCTCATTGTGGAAGTTTCTGATGATATAAAGTGGAAATCCCTTCAAATGCCTCCCCTAGAAATAATCACTATGACAATGTGGAATATAGTATTCCTATCCTTTTTCTCTACATTCACATATATATGTCTATACATATGTAAATGTATTTTTGTGAGTTTTAAAAAATATTAAATTTTGTACATATTGTTTTGCAATTTTTTTACTTACTGTGTCTTACAGAGTTTTTTATGTTGATACACATAGAAGGATCTAGCTCATTCTTTATGATTGATGAGTAGTATTCCATAGAATGGATTTATCACAGTTTAACTATTCAGGAAGGGCACTTTACAGGTGAAAAATCACGTATAGAAAGGGTCAGTGACATGCTTAGGGTCAAATCATATATCACTGACATTATTAAACTTTGCATATAACTTCTGGTCTAATGCCTGCCCTTCTGAATATGTTACATTCTGTTACTGAAAAATATCACTTTAATTTATCAGGTTGGCACAATCAGATATATGGCACCAGAAGTGCTAGAAGGAGCTGTGAACCTAAGGGACTGTGAATCAGCTTTGAAACAAGTAGACATGTATGCACTTGGACTAATCTATTGGGAGATATTTATGAGATGCACAGACCTCTTCCCAGGTAAGAGAACTGTTATCAAAAGTTGATGTTTTGAAGTTAAGCAGTTATATCTTCTTTCTCTAACTATATTAAGTAACTTTATGTAAGAATCTTTTTCCTTTCATTTAAACCTGTAGTTCATTGCCATCTAGTGTTCTTAGATATTATTAGCAGAAGGATGTGAATCAGGGATTTTTTTTTTTTTAAACGACTCCAAGTTTGCTTCTGGGTGCAATTTAATTAATTGCTCATAGCTTATTTAGCTGTGTTTAGTTTGGGCTTTGATTGCTTTAGTAACCATTTTCCTTATGCACCCTCTGAGCATTTGGGACAAGGTACACTTAACAGGGTTTCCTGAGTTGACCCAATAGGGAATTAGAAGCAATGAATTATCCATTGTCAACAATATGAACACGCTTTCCTTCCTTTCTTCTTCCCTTCATTCCTTCCTTTTTTCCTTCTCTCTCCCCCTCCTCCTCCCCCTTCTTTCTCTTTGTCTCTTTTTTACGTGAAAGAACACTCGTGTAATGTGAATGCTTACTTCTGAGGCTTGCTTACTTAAAATAGCGAGGTGAATTTACTGTTTTACTTCCCTTGTTAGGATTATATCACTATTGTTATTGTCATATAAAAACCTATAATAAGTACCAGTCTGTGGATTGAAATTCTATATGCTTTACAAATTATTTGATATTTATGGCCTCTACCTTATAAGAATAAATACCATTAAAAGTATAGAAAAACGAAAAAAAAAAAAAATGAGTCAGCATTAGACAAATTTATGAAATGAGGCTATTTAATAAAAACAGTGGGGTTGAATTGTTTTTCTCTAAAGATATTAAGCATTAAAAATCAGTTAATAATTCTAAAATATAGTAAAATAAATTAATAATTAGATTAATTACAGGTCAATCAGTTATTATTTAGAAGTACGTTTTCTAGTTAATTGAAAGTACAGAATTCTCAACTGAGGTGTTTTTCTGAAAATAGCAGCAATTGCAGTAGTATTGCAAGTATTCTATTATTATTGGAACTTGGCCACAGCTTTTTTTTTTATTCTAATCCAAGATTTTTGTTTTAGAGGCATATCTGACTAAAATGATGCTCTCATCAATATTAATATACTGCCGTCGACAACATTTTTTGAACAACTGCTGCATTAAAAGAACAGCTATTGCTTTTGATTTGATAAAAAAGGAGCGATACCAGATATTTACATGGAGAAAGGCAATTAAATCTTGTTTGCAAAAGACTATTTTAGCAGATACGTAGGATGAGTTGAAACAGAAAGAACTAGAGGGGTTTAAATAGGAAAAAGAAAAGAGTTGCATTAAGATATGCTAGAATGCTGGATATGGAAATGGGAAAGAAAGGGCACATCTGAGAGAAAATGCAGACGGTATCTGTGGTTCTGGTTAGCTGTTGGAAGACAAGGGGTCTAAGGAATTGAAAAAGATTCAGAAGTGTGAGAAATAGTGAGGGTGGCAGCCGGGAACTTAGGAAGGAATATTGGTTTACATTGGAAAGATGAGTTAATTATGGAGACCTTTGGATGGGGTATTGACAGAATACTGAAGACAATTTTTTAAAGAAATTAAAGAGGATGTTGAGAGAACTAAGATTAAAATGATTATTTGGGAGTTGTCTGTATATAGACAATAACTGAGAAAATGTGAGTAGATGTACTCCCCTAAGGGAATAAATGAACAGAGAGAAAAATTGGTGATTAAAGATTTAATATTGGGATCACCCCAGGAAGAAGACAAATGATCAGAAAAATAGTGAGAAGACTAAGAAATTAGAGCGTCTTGGAAGTCAATGTTAGTAAGATCCAAGATTGATGGCAATAGATGTAACTAAAATGTCTAAAGGAAACAGAGCTGTGGAATAATCTTTGAATTTGAATAGAAGGAGGTCATTGGTATTATAATAGGAATTTCTGTTGGATAGGGAAGACGGAAATCATATTTCAGAGGGTATAAAAAACAAAAAAGAACAAACCCATTGCCATGGAGTCGATTCTGACTTGACGGCAATCCCATGCGTTACAGAGTAAAAATGCACCATATGGTTTTCTTAGATGTAATCTTTAAGAAAGCAGATTGCCAGCCCTTTCTTCCGTGGTATCTCTGGGTGGGTTTGAATTGCCAACCTTTAGGTTACTAGTCAAATGCAAACCATTTGTGCCACCCAGGGACCTCACAGAGGATATCCAAACCAAACTAAATCCATTGCCATCAAGTCGATTCCAACTCACGGCGACCCTTATAGGATAGAGTAGAACTGCCTCATAGGGTTTCCAAGGCTGTGATCTTTACGGAAGCAGACTGCCACATCTTTTTCCCGCAGAGCAGCTGTTGGGTTTGAACTGCTGACCTTTTGGTTAGCAACCAAGCACTTAACCACTGCGCCACCAGGGAGGAAGTAGGAAAGAAGATTATGAAGAAAGCAGATTCAGAGGATACAGAGAACTGTTGAAAATTTTATCAGTGAAATAGGGTGGAAGTTGAAAAGAAAAAGATCACAAAGAGGTATTAATAAACCTAGAACATAAATATAAATAGCATATGATAATTGTAAAATTCTTACAAAATATTTTTAAAACTTTTGAGGTTTACCTCTAAATGCAGTGCATGTTTTGTTATTAAATAGAAGCACTATGTAAATGAAATCTGCCTCTTTCTGGAGAATATAAGAAAAATAAATGAATTAGGTATCTATATTACAAGGAAGGAGTGAAATGCTGCAAAGTTTGAGAGGGAGAAAGGAAAAAAGGAAACAAGAAAAAGAAAGAGAACAAAAGTAATTAGAGAAGGTTACTAAAGAAGTTCCTCACTGCTAGAGACATAATTAACAAGTGACAGATGGGGAGAGAAGCAGGAAATGGTGTTTGATATTCTTAGATATGCTATCTATTTTGGACAATTTGAGAGAAAATGAGATTGTAAAACTTCTCTTGAGCAGTCCAGTGATTATAAAGTTTAAAAGAAATCCCAGCACCCTTTTAACTCAGTACTGAGGTCACTCCTGAGGCTCACCCTTCAAAGGTTAGACAGGCCCATAAAACAAACAATAATACATGTGGCTAAACCATGTATACAAGACCAAGTGGGCACACCAGCCCAGGGGCAAGGATGAGAAGGCAGGAGAGGACAGGAAAGATGGACAAATGGAAATGGGGAACCCAAGGTCGAGAAGGGGAGAGCATTAATGTGTCGTGAGGTTGGCAACCAATGTCACAAACAATATATGTATTGTTTAATGAGAAAGTAATTTGCTCTGTAAACCTTCATCTAAAGCACAATTTAAAAAAAAAGAGAGATAAAAAAATAATTAAAAATCCAGTAAGACGAGTATCTTCCATGATGATGTTGTTTTTCATTAATATTCATCTTTGCATCTCTGGTGCCTAAAACTAAGTTAGCTTCAAACAAGTACCTGTGGAACAATTAGATTTAGAACTATGTAGTTACAGTGGAAATTTATTTGATAATTCTTATTGTCATTCTATTCACAAAACAAGTTTGTGTATGAATTTCACTTAGCAATTTTTCTAGTTATAATGAATTAAAATAGAGAAGCAAATTTGCGGGCTTCGAATTATTCTACTAAACCAGCATTTCAAGAAAAAAATAACTAATGAACAACATTTAGAAGGTGTGTATGTGTGCTATATGTATGTCTCAAAGAGACAGATCAGATATACTAGTAAATATCTTACAATTCACAGATGGTATGGGTTGAAGTTTTATCACACTAAAGGAAGAAAGTGAAATACTGACTGGCTGATTTAATCCTTCAGTTGGTCTTTCAAGTTCAATGTTGATGGTTGTTAATCAGAAGTAAGTATATGAGCCCTGGTGGTGAAGTGGTTAAGAGCTGAGGCTGCTAACCAAAAGGTCAGCAGTTCAAATCCACCAGCTGCTCCTTGGAAACCCTATGGGACGGTTCTCCTCTGTCCTGTAGGGTCACTATGAGTCAGAATATTTCAGCGGCACACAGCAACAACTGTCTGCTTAGATGTTTAGACTTGTGAAAGTATCACTTGTATTTTTGATAGCCTAGTATTCCAGTACAGAATATTGTCTGATTTAATGTTAGAAGATGAGCCCCCTAGGTTGGAAGGCACTACATAACAGCTGCAGCAAGGGACTCAAACATACCAATAATCATGAAGATGGCACAGGACTGGGCAATGTTTATACATAAGGTCTCTATGAGTCGGAGCCGACTCAATGGCAACTGACAACAGCAACACAACAGTCTTCAAAAAAACTTGTGCTGTACTGCATAGATTATAGAATTAATCTTTGAAAATATTTTTTAATACTGGTGGGAGGCAAGTATTGATGGATTGTTTCGGATAGTCAAATAAAAACATAAAGCTTAAATTAGATGTTTTAAACATACTTTCCATTTGGGTCACTATAACTTTGTAATTAATATCTCCATTGTGAGTGAGATAAGGAAGGCAGACATTGTCATTTTGCTGACAGGAAAACTGAAACACAGAATAGTTAAATGACTTTTCCAAGGTAGAGATGAAGCGAAGATTAAAACCTAAATACCTTATCCTTCATCCTGGTGTTCTTCCTTCTAATTTATCCTGCCATTTTTAACTGGGTAATGAGAGTGGCAGGGAGTTTTCCTGTGTTCTTTGTCAAGATTTTGACTAGACCACTGGATTTCTAAGTGTTGGTCCCAGAGGTCATCTGCATGGCTCAGTATGTTTACTGCTGTTGTTGTTAGGTGCTGTCAAGTCGATCCTGACTCATAGCGACCCTATAGGGCTGAGTAGAACCGCCTCATAGGGTTTCCAACAAGCAGCTTGTGGATTTGAACTGCCAACCTTTTGGTTAGCAGCCAAGATCTTAACCACTGCACCACTAGGGCTCCATGTTACTAATAAGTTTAATTTTATCACATTTTGTAAAAATCAGAAGCCTCTCATCACAAGCAGCTAATTGTGCTTATTTGATGATGAATGGGTTATTTAACAGTGGTGGACTAATTAGTGACATTTAAAATTCTTAATCTAGATACTGCTTCTTATTTAAGAGGAATTTTAAAAAATCAGTATATTGATTTTTCTGTGAAATGGCCATTATCATAAACATTTTTGTGACATTTAATACCACCTGTCTGTATAATAATAGAGCTGATGACAAAATGAGACACGGTGAATGTACAACCTACTCACTTACATTTAGTTTTACAGACGTGTTTGTTGTACTAGAACTTGTACTTTCTCCTCATCTTCACTGCCCGCATCCCTGTGTTGGATCAGAGTTCAGGAATATTTTAAAGTATTAAGTACATCTTGTTGCTGTGTGCCATCAAGTTGATTCCAACTCATAGCAACCCTGTAGAACAGAGTAGAACTGCACCATGGGGTTTCCAAGGAGTGGCTGGTGGATTCGAACTGCTAACCTTTTGGTTAGCAGCTTGAGCTCTTAACCACTTTGCCACCAGGGCTCCAAGTACATCTTTTGTTGTTGTTAGGTGCCATCAAGTCAGTTCTGACTCATAGCAACCCTATGTACAACAGAACGAAACACTGCCCCGTCCTGCGCCATCCTCACCATTATTGCTGTGCTTGAGCCCATTGTTGTAGCCACTGTGTCAATTCATCTCATTGAGGGTCTTCCTCTTTTTTTCACTGACCCTCTACCTTACCAAGCATGATGTCTTTCTCCAGGGACTGATCCCTCCTGATAACATATTAGGTATATAATAATCTTTTCCCCCTACATTTAGTAATGTTAGAAACCATTTAAAGATAGCTATCTATCATTGAGGTCCCTAGGTGGCACAAACGGTTTGTACTTGACTGCTAACCTAAAGGCCTGGAAGATAGGCCTCGCCATCTGCTTCTGTTAAGATTCCGACTCACAGTGACCCTATTGTGGGGGCTGGCAAGTCCAAAATCTGTAGGTCAGGTGACAGGCTGGAGATTTCTGCAGGCTTGTATTCCAGAGTCCATAGGTCATGCAGCAGGAAGAATGAAGGAGTGGAAAGGTTCTGGAAGAATGTCTATTTATAGTCTAGAGGTAGAATACACCCTAGGCAAAACTTCCTTTTTTCGCTTAAGGCCTTCAAATGATTGGATGAAGCTTACCCACATTATAGATTGTATAATCTACTTTTCTTAAGGCCCAATGATTTAATTACATATAACTGCTTCGTAACAGCATCTAGACTAGTGTTTGACCAAGCAACTGGGTGCTGTAGCCTAGCCAGGTTAATGCATAAAATTAACCATCACATCCACAAACATTTTGGGACTATTAAGTAAAGCATTTATTAATAATGCATTAAACCCAGAACAGAGTCTCTTTAGGATTTCCATATGTGCCTGAGGAAGTTTCAAAAAAAAGTATCGTAATAATTTCTTTGCTTACATGGTACAAGAGATACCCTTGTTATTCTGTCATTTTATGATAATTGGAAATTTTATTCTGTCCTTTTCTAAAAACACACAGGTGAATCTGTACCAGAATACCAGATGGCTTTTCAGACAGAAGTTGGAAACCACCCCACTTTTGAAGATATGCAGGTTCTGGTGTCCAGGGAAAAACAGAGACCCAAGTTCCCAGAAGCCTGGAAAGAAAATAGCCTGGTAAGAAAAAACGGAATTATTAAAAACAGAACTTATGACTAAATATATTTTAATGTTGTTTGAAGCAAAAATAGACTGTTAATATTGTTAATAGTTCTTAGGGTTGCCTAATGCCAGGAATCCAACTTACTTGATTTTCATAATGTTACATGTTTTCAATAGAAGAAAAGTCCCGTTTTTTAGTTTAATTTCAGTACTATTTAGAGAGACTAATGGATGTGTTTGAAGTTCGCCAGATTGGATTAGCAGCTGGAATAATTAACATGTTAATATTTTAAATGTTGTTGAAGTTCCATCTTATTCTCTTGAGAGTGATAACAAAAATGTTAATTAGCACACACTTACAAATTCAATGGCTAATAGAAATTTAGGCTAGATCTAATTGAAACGAAAGGATAGCCTATAAATTCTGCCTATTACAAAATACAGTTCACAATACTAAACTATCTTCAGAGATTCCTGCCAATTGAGTAAAATTGTTGCTGTAACACTGAAAAAATCTTATAAAACATTTACACACAGTCTCACTTCCACAATTTATTTTTTACATAAGTAGGATCAATGGTTAAGCTTTCGGCTGCAAACCAGAAGGTCAGCTGTTCAAACCCACTAGTGGCTTGACGGGAAAAAAGACCTGGCAATCTACTCCTGTAAAGATTACAGCCTAGGAAACCCTATGGGGTGGTTCTACTCTGTTATATTGGGTCACTGGGAGTCAGAATCAACTTGACAGCACACAACAACAAAAACAACAAGAATCATTTCATTCTCCGTATCATCTCTGAGGTTCTTTTGTTTTGTCTTTACTTATGGACACATTCGTGTCAACACTTAATATCTGTCTAATTCTTTCCATTTGGTCAGTATTCCATTTTATGATGTATCATAAGTATTTAATTACTCCTGATTGAGGAGAGTGCCCTATACTTATTTTTGAAACAATTTTTTAAAAAGAATTAAAGTTATGCCTACACATGATAAACAAAAATCAAATAGAACATAAACAAGGAAATGGAAAAGGAAAGGACTACCTATCCTTACCACCACTCTCCAAAAGTAACCCCTTTAGCAGTTTTTTTTAAATTCCCTCTTCTAGAAGTTACCATTATAACTTTAAATCATATATTTATTCTTATTTAGGTTATATCTAATTAACCATCTTCCAGTTTTATAATATTATATCTATTATTATATCATGTTTTTATAAAATAATAAAAAAAAATTAAATCCCTTGCCCTTGAGTAAATTCTGACTCATAGCAACCCTGTAGGACAGACTAAAACCCCGCCCCATAGGGTTTCCAAGGCTGTAATCTTTACAGAAGAAGATTGCCACATCTTTCTTCTGCAGAGCAACTGGTGGGTTTGAACTGCTGACCTTTTAGTTAGCAGCTGGGCACTTAACCTACTGTGCCACCAGAGCTTTGTTTTGTCTATAGGTTGATGTAAAAATTAAAAAGTCAGAATTTTGCAGAACATTCACTGCACAGCAAAGTATTATGCTGAGACTCCTAGAGAAGGAAGTATAAATTCTACGTTAGTTACTACTATGTAGCCCTAGTCTTGCAGTGGCTAAGCGTTCGGTGGCTAACCAAAAGATAGGCAGTTCAAATCCACCAGCTGCTCCCTAGAAACCCTGTGGGGCAGTTCTACTCTGCCCTATAGGGTCACTATGAGTCAGAATAGACTTGTTGGCAAGGGGCTTGGTTTTTGGTTTTATGTTAGTTACTATGTACCACAAGCTCCTGCCTATTGAGGGAAAATGTTTCAAAAGTCAGTTATCCAAGGGATTCTCTTTGATTTCTTGTCAACTTTTTCTTTCTGTCTTCTTCCTAGATTGTATTCAGAAGCAACATTTTTTAAAATCTCATGTCATTTCTTTCTTATAAATCATTTTTTCTTTAATGAAGTTTCTTCTTAAGTAGTGTGTGTTAATATATGCAACAGTGGTAAACATCTTGAATCCTTGTATGTTCAAAAATGTTTGTCTTGCTCTCACACTTGAGTAATAGTTTGGCTAGGTAATAGTTTTAAGATAAAAATAAGTTTTCTCACAACTTGAAACCAGCTACTCCGTTGACATCTAGTATCCAGCCTTGCTAATGAGAATTCTGATGCCAGCCAGTCTCATTCCATTGTTTTTTGTTTTGTTATATATGTATTTTTTTTAATCCTCTTGTTTTCTTTATAAGCTTTTAAGGCTTTTACTTTATCTTGGGAATTTTAAAATTTCACCTGGATGTATTTAAGCTTGCATCTTTTCACATATATTTTTGTTGGTACTAGATATATTGTCAGCTTGAAAATTCAGAACTTTCTCTAATTCAGAGGAATTTTCTTATGTTATTTTAAATATTATTTCCTCTCTTCCATTCCTTCCTTCTGGGATTCCCATTAGACAAATATTAAATTGCCTGATGTTCAGGTTTCAATTCTTTTCTTGTATTTTCTGTCATTTTGTTCTAACTTGTTCAGGATTTACTCAGCTTTGCCTTTCAAGTCATGGATTTATTTTTCACCTTTACCATTCTATTAGTCATCTGTTCATTAAATTTTTAATTTCCCCAATTATAACTTCTAAAAATTCTTATTGTTTACTTTTTCCATTGCATTCTGTTCATTTTAAGAATATAATAGCATTTTTGTATCTTGGAGGTGTTAATTAGAATTTCTGATACTTTTAGATTAATTTTCTTGACTGTGAAGAACAAAAAATGAAAAAAAGGAAGCAATTTGAATCATTTTACTATATATTTTCACATTTCAATTTTAGGTTATCTTGTTAGGATTAGAATATCTTTGTTTTGGATCCTGATGTAGGTGAGGTGATGACATGTCAGAGAGAGGCTATAGAGACATTATCTATATGTTTCCACACAGGTTTAGGTTGAACATTTTCTTCATGGTCATCTTTGTCAGTAGACTACCTTCAAGAAAGCCTTCTCTTTCAAATGAGATTAAAATCCTTTTCAAGTATGAGGTAGAGGAAGAGACTGTTGCCAGGCACATATGTTCAGGATTGCCTCCAAACTGTAGTCCCTGCTATGGGGACTGGAACAAACCCTTACAAGGTCCCAGGCAGCAAGTAAGAGGCTGAATCCTCCCAGGATTAATTAGAGGTGCCAGCCTCACACAAGAACATTCCTCAAAGAAAAATCTCTTTGTGAGATTTTATTCTAGTAAAATGCAACTTCATCTTCCCTGTGTTGTTTTATTTCACCTGAACAAATAGGATGAATTATTTTCAAGTATCTCTTGGCAACCCTACCGTTACTTTCTGTGGGATATGCATGATGTGCATTTTTACCTGAAAGCTTTTTACTCCCAATTTAGAGTAGGTTGCTAAGTAAGGGATTAGTAAAACTTCGTTCATTTCCAACAAATGCATTTAAATCTAATGTGCTGCAGTGAGTAGAGCTGCTTCTCTGCAGTGACAATCCAATACTGGAGTTAGATAGCAAGTGTGTGGTTTATGAAAAGAGAAATACAGTGCTGTCTAAAAGGAGACATTTTTGCTTTCATAGTTGCATTGTAATTAAAAAGGTTTTTTTAAGTAATAAAACTCAAAATCTTTCAAATGTTAATAAATGCAAAAAGTGGTTTTAATTTTTAAAATGCCAAGGACCAAACATAGATCAGTCGATAAAGGGAGGAAGAACAGTTTCCTGACAAAAATGAAAGTATAGAAAATAGACTAAGGGAAATATATGAAAATAATAACCATAGTTATCACTAATATTGGGTTCAGGAATGACTTTTTCTCCTTTTTCCTGTGTTTTTCCAAATTTACAGTAAATATACTGCTTTAACAATCACACACACAATTTAGGGCTGTTGTTTTATATTA